GTGGGGGTGTGTGTGGGCCCCCTTCCCTGGGGCCAGCATGGCAGGTGTGGGTGTGTGTGGGTTCCCTTCTCTAGAGCCAGCATGGTGGTTGAGGGTGTGCTGTGGGTCCCCTTCCCTGGGCCCTGGTGCCAGTATGTCAGGTGAGGGCATGCATGGGCCCTCTTCCCTGGGCCTGGCACTGGGACTCCCTGCAATCACGTCCTCGGAGGGCATCCTGTCCTGTCCAAGCGGCACTCGGACCCTCCTGAGTCCACCATAAGCACAGAGGAGACTTCCTTAACTGGCCCCGCACAGGCCAAGCCTCCCCCACCAGACACAGCAGAGTCACAGCCCTGCCCCACTGCACCACGGCCCTGCTGCCCGGCCTGGGTGTGTCCCGGAGCTCCGCCCACCCACAAGCAGCCCAGGCTGGCTGGGAGGCAGCACAATGCCGCTCTGCTCCTCACACATGCCCCGCTGTGCTGCGCCTGAATGCCTGCCCTGCTGCAGGGCTGACCTTGTGAGCCATGACCCTCCACCCGCCCAGCGACAGGAGGAAGGACCCCCCGTTCCTCTCCAGGGTTCCAAGGCAGGCATGCATCCCCTACCTGATGTCTGGATACTTGCTGACCAGAGTGGAGACTTCCAGGTAGAGCAGAGAAGGATCTGTCAGCTTGATCACTTCGGCCACGGCGACGATGGTGTCGCAGTACCCGTCCACGTCTTCCCCAAAGCCCTGGCAGGCAGCAGGAACGTGAGGAACCACCTCGGCTGTCCTCCCCACTGGGGCGGCTGGATTCTGGCTGAGCCCCTTCCTGACTGGGCACCTCCCTCTTCCCCTGACCCTCAGGATTGATTCTGAAACCTTGGTGATGGGACAGGGGCCTGGGGTGAGCAGCGAGTCAGTGGGAGGTGACCAGCAGGGAGCTGTGGGCAGCTGGAAGCCTGGCACCGAGCACTGCGAGCGCGTCTGCCCCCGCCTCCCCCGGTCATTCGTGTCCGACCACAAGGTCGGGCAGCATCTGGACTTAGGCTCCCCGCCGGACAAACACAAGATGGACTCTGATCTGCTGGCCTCAAAGTCCCAGGGCGGAGGCTGAAATCCCTTCTCCACACCAGCACTGGGGCGACACTCACGGACGCCAGCTTCCGGAACAGGAAGCGCAGCTGCTCCGCCTCTCTGACCATCTTCTCTGCACCCTCCTTGCGCTCCTCGGGGCTCCGGAAGGAAATGCGCTTCTGCATGACGGCCCGCAGGTACTCCACCACCACACGCCGGTGTGCCTCGGCCGTCATCCTCTGGAGAGAAACATGCAGTGGGCCACAGGCTCCACAGCTCTAGCACCACGAGCGCTTTCATGTAAACCCAGGCCACGGCTCCCAGCGGCTCCCCGGAGGCTGTGAGTCCACTCCTCCTTGCCCTGCCTCAGCTGTGGCCATCTCACCACAGAGGAGGAGCAGGAGCTCGGTGTGGGAACAGTGACCACGACTGGGACCCTGCAGCAGGCCAGCTCCAGGCCTAGCAGGCGGGCGTGAGTCACGGGCCGTACAGCGGCACTCGGCCCACAGACAGGGCCGGTGTTGGTGGCTGCTGCCGCCCTTTGATAATGACCGCAGTGCCTGGAACACTGGCAGGCACTCTGGAGGAAAGAGAACCTGGACCCGTGGTGGAAAAGAAACCCCTGGGGCAGCACAGAGTGAGAGGAGGGTAAGAAGCTAAGATGGGTCACGGGGGCCTGTCCAGGAACCACGGCTCCCTCCACCTCAAGTGTGCGCCACGGAGCCCCGAACCAGGGAGGCAGTATCCGCAGGCCTCTTGCCTCCCTTGGGCTGACAGGACAAGAGACTCTTCATTTTCACGGAGGGACTCGCTGGGTGCTGAATTCTGAGCAGGGTGCGAGGTGAGCCCTAGCGTGAAGGTGGCTAGGGGACTAGGTCCCAGCTTCTTACCTTCTTATACAGCTTTTTAATTTTGGCAAAGTCGTTGAAATAGTCTTCCACGGTGACACAGATAATGTCTACGGCGTTTGATCCCAATAGCCATTTCTTCGTCATCAATTCATTCAGATGTTGCTGAAAAGCAGAAACAGATCGTAGAACTCACCACCTCAACGTCCCACGAGGTGGAGCGCGCGCGTGGACAGGCACTTCCGAGCGTCTTCGCGCTGCTTTTGCAATTACAACAGCATGTGTACTCAGGTAAAAATTCAATTATATAATCTGCAAATGTGTACTTTAAGTAAAGGAAATTTATACTATAATTTCTATGATGGCTTCACAAAATGACGTGTTAAAGATGGAAGTATCTGTGCATGGATGCATTTTACCTTTAATGGCTACATATACTTATCACATTTATTTGCCCAATTCTCTGACGGACATTTAAATTTTTTTCACATGTTGCAATGATAATGCAACAGTGAATCTGTATAATTCTGATGAAATTCCTTAAAGTTGACTTTTTCAGTCAAAAAGTATAAAAACTAAAACTCCTATGGTTGTATTTCCAAACTGCCCTCCAAAACCCAAACCAGTTCAGGCCAACAGAGAATATAAAAAGCCCCTTTCTCCCGCACCCTCCACAGCCCCAAGTGGCACCCATGTCTTTGGTTCCTGCCGTCCCACTGAGTGGCAGACCCTGTTCAGCCGTCATTCTTTGACGATAAGGTTGGGCATCTAGTTTCATCTTGAGGACACTGGTGTTGCTGTTTCTATGAAGTGGCCGTTCATGTCCTTTGTCCATTTTTCTATATTTTCTTTTTAAATTCTGAAATAATTTCAAATGTAAATATTTCCTTCTTGCTTTCTAAGTCATTTTGTGAAAAGTATAAGTGTCTGCCACTTTGGTGGCACTTCCAACCGCATTTCTGTTCTCCTGCACAGCCAGACGCTGATGAAGCCAGCAACCAATCCCACCACCTATCCCAGGAACCCCTTTCCAGCAGTATCCCCAGATGGCCATGGCCTTATTTTTAAAATACATTCTGACTTCTGCCAACATATCTAAATCATGCTAAACCATCTTTGCATTTCTGAAATAATCACTACATTTCATGGTAGGTTTTGCCTTTGATACACTGTTAAATTCATTTTATTAATGATTTTTGTTCGTGTGTGTGTTTGTATTTGAAAGCGAACAGATCTATGTGAGGTGAGGGGTGTGTGTGTGCGCGCACTCTCAATTTGGCTTTTTGACAGGTCCCTACATGTTTGTTTCTATTTTGTAATCCACTAAATTGTCTGATGTCCTTAATACTTACTGGATGAATCTACTGAGTTGTGTGCATAAGAAGGACCTGCATCATAGGAAGCACGCAGCGTCATGGAAAATGGAGGTGCTTAAGCGACTTAACCTGAATGCAAGGGCACAGCTCCCAGGATGGCATCCACACGGTAGTTTATAGCCCATGTCCCAGACGGCAGTGAGGAAGCCCCATGCGTCGGCCCCAGAAACGGCAGGAGGAAAGAGCCAGGCACACCTCCAGGTCCAGGAAGACCTCCTCCAGCAAGCCACTGCAGCCCTCCTTTGCGATGGTGTCTAAAATCCCGTCCATGTTTGGTTGGCTCAGAGACACACCCTCTTCCACATCATTCTTTAAATACTTTCTTTTTAAACTGACTATGGATTCTCTGCAAGGAAATAGTTCAGGTTCAACACAGCAGCTGGGCCCGCCCCCCCCACCATTCTCCCGCCGCGGCGCCCGGCCGGCTCACTTGAAAGTCTGGCAGTTGTTGATGATGGCGATCATGTACTGGACGTAGCACTGCGGGTGCTGCCGATTCCTCAGGTGCTCTTCTTTATACAGCTGCGCTTCATCTTTATATCTGAGGACAGACAGACTCCTGTCAGACAGCACTAAGGCCAACACCACGCTGACATCGTGCCCGGCCTGAAATTTCACATCACTAATATCTGACAGGGTGAGCCTCTAAAAATAAAACAATCTTTAGATGATCCACATTAATGGAAGGACAGAGAGGTTGATCACTTTAAATGTATTATTAAAAAATAATTTCACCTGAGGCTTTAAAATATGGCTCATTAGGCGGCTGAGGCAGGAGGACCGCTTGAGCCCAGGAGTGAGCTAGTGAGCCACCACTGCGCTCCAGCATGGGCAACCTCATGAGACCCTGTCTCTTAAAAACAATTAAAAAATATAAAAATGTTGAGGAGTTGATAAAAAGTAACTGAAAAAAGGAAAAAGAAAAAATATGGTTCAGAGGCTGACTGTAAAAATATACAACATATTTGATTGTGAGAAATTGGAAAAGCATTATTTTATTTACTATACAATTCACCTAGAAACTCATAGTGTCAGGAACATCATCACATGTCAGGGAAAATGTCCCTCTCAGAAACTGTCCCTGAAGTAATCCAATTAAAAATAGACACTTGAAATCTCAGGAACACAAACTACTGCAATAGCAACACACTCTTTTTAAACTGATTGTGGAGATTCTCAAGCACGTATGCAAGTGAAAGAATTGTACAACAAAAACCGTTTCTAGTTTTAAGGAGCAAAGTGAAAACTGCCAATTAAAGGGAAATAACTTCGCATTGCTGTCCAAAGTGTGGTTCAGGTAATCAAAAAGCTGAGGGTGACCAGGGAACATTCTCTTTATAGAAGAATCTAACCTCATAAATAACACTTACCCCTGAAGAAACAAACTCTCAGGCCAAAAGTCCCATGGACAGACAGCCTATAGGGACTTGGCCATGACCCCTGTGGATAGGCAGCCTGTGGGAACTTGGCTAAGACTTGGCTAGGCCATGGATGGAGGGCCAGTGGAGACTCGGCTGTGGATGGAGGGCCAGCGGGGACTTGGCCATGACCCCATGGATGGATGGCAGAAGGGAACTCTGAGTGGGTGGCGTGGCTGTAGTACCTAAGCCCCCAGGACAGGACCTACGGCTGCCACGTATCCTGATGTGCCACATTGTGGCGGCACACTTGCCAGTAAGTGGGATCCAAGCCTGCAGAGACAACGTCTGGCTTGGGGCTGACGGCAGACTAAGGATGAGGCCGAGGGACATCTCTCTACAGAGATCTACAAGCCAGCGGCTTACGAAGGAAGGGGCTGTTCTACTGAACCAGAGGCCTAGGAACCCTAAGCCCTCATGCAATGCAGTCCAATCTGTGTGACAGCTATGAAAAGACATACTTGAGATAAAACCCAAATGCAGACTCAGCTTTGGATGACCCCATGGAGTCACTGTGCATGTGCCTCTGACTTGATGGCATGGTAGCGGCTGGAGAGGGTCGCGAGACCACGCCACAGTGCCTGGGGTTTGCCTTAAGGTACTTCAGCAGAGAACGAGCAGAATGGGCAGGGGAGAACAGATCAGGCAAGGGGGCTTTGGAGGGGACAGCTTGTGGACTGCACGATGGGTGAACCCAGTTTTTTAACCCATTTTTTTCATATCTACACAGATTTGAAAATCATCATCAAAAACTCATGGGGAGGGGAACATGCCAGGTCATGTTCCAGGCTGCCTGGAACCCTTCCACCAAGGGCACCCTCCCCACTTCGAAGTGGGCACTGCACTGGGAGTTGCTATCCCCACCCCCAGGAAGTTCAGAACAGGTGACAGGAGAAGGCTGACTCCAACAGAGTTGACGTCATCCGGCACATCACTAAGGACATCACAACCCATAGCTCTGGGAGCCCAAAGGGGCATGTGGTCCACTCAAGGGGCAGATGGAGCAAAAGCTCCACTCCATCGCTTTGCGTCTCTAAAGAACACAAGGAGGAGACATGTGGGGAATCCATAGGCTTTTTTGTTTTTAATATATAACAAGCATAGTAGGATCAAGACATTTTTGCTTTTAATGTTTAAAAACGTTCAATTTGTAAATCAGCACACTGGCAAAAAGACGTACCTGCTTAGGAAGGAATTCATTTGCTGAAGACACAAAACTAGTACCTTTGTTTTCAAATCTTCACTTATCTGAGCAGCAACTTGAAGATTCTGTTCAAACATCTAAAAATCGGAGAACTTATGAATTCTGATATAATCTTACAGGAGTATCCTAAGAGTGCAAGTTTGCTGTTATATAAAACTCCCATCTGCTAACTCGCAGTTAGGATAGTCCAAGTTCAGAGAAAAAAATGAAACCACTTGAATAAGAATAAAGTTAGTTTAAAAAAAAAAAACAACTTTCTCACCTGGGAGAGAACCAAGTGAATCATTTCTTAATTACCTGCACACTGGTTTCTCCCAAGGGGGCTGCGTCTGTCCTCACCCACGCGACTGAAGTTCTAATGTGTGGAGTAAGGCCTCTCAGGGAGATGGGGTCCCTTGGGCGCCTGACTCACCTTCCCTGGCTGCAGGATTGTCATGATGCAGATTTCCTATGAATCTGGACGTGGGGGTGCCAGGCCCTGCCATGAGCTGGACACAGGCAGAGGAAGGGTGGAGGGCAGAGCTCACTGGGCTCTCCTCACACGGTTTCTCATGGCATCCGATTCCAAACAAAGGAAAGGGTTTGGAATAGCCTGTCAGTAACTAATGGTATCATTCAGACAGAAATGTCTCCCACCAGCCCTCACCCCTGCCTGAGTGAGGATTCTAACACAGCTGGGCTCCAACCCTCAGCAAGGCCACTCAAATTAAAAACATGACGTCAAAAGAAAAAAGAGCAGGAAAAACAGGACACGGGTGATCAGCTGGACACTGGAAAGTGAATCCGTGAAAAAAGCATACATGTGTGTAACACCTAGTGAGGCTCGGGCACTGGAAAGTGAATCCGTGGTAAGAATGCGCGTGGGTGCAACGCCTAGTGAGGCTCGGGCATGGGAAAGTGAATCCGTGCTAAGAACGCGTGTGAGTGTAACGCCTAGTGAGGCTCGGGCACGGGAAAGTGAATCCGTGCTAAGAACGCACGTGGGTGTAACGCCTAGTGAGGCTCGGGCACTGGAAAGTGAATCCGTGCTAAGAACGCGCGTGAGTGTAATGCCTAGTGAGGCTCGGGCACGGGAAAGTGAATCCGTGCTAAGAACGCGCGTGAGTGTAACGCCTAGTGAGGCTCGGGCATGGGAAAGTGAATCCGTGCTAAGAACGCGCGCGGGTGTAACGCCTAGTGAGGCTCGGGCACTGGAAAGTGAATCCGTGGTAAGAATGCGCATGGGTGTAACGCCTAGTGAGGCTCGGGCATGGGAAAGTGAATCCGTGCTAAGAACGCGCGTGGGTGTAACGCCTAGTGAGGCTCAGGCACGGGAAAGTGAATCCGTCATAAGAACGTGTGTGGGTGTATCGCCTAGTGAGGCTCGTGCCCAGGAAAGTGAATCCGTGGTAAGAATGCAGGTAGGTCTAACACTTAGAACCCTGACCGATGAACAGGAAAGCAACTTAGAAAGCTAATAGATGCCTTGAACCGGGAGATGGA